AAAAAGCTGAAAATGGTGCTGTAGCTCAAAAAGGTAGAACACCAGCCTTGAGCATGCATGTACATGTGCACACACGTGCATACATATGCACAAAAAAACCCTCCCCTTTCTCTTAAAAACAAGTCCTAATGATTCAATCTTCTGTCTGACCTCTGGACATCCAAATTTCAAAAGAAATACACATGCAGCAATGCATTCTGTCTAAGGACAAAAGCAAGACAAAAGCAAGCCATTCCCACACAATGTAGGCACCCCTACTTTCTGGATGCGAAGGTCCTGTACACCCAGTACCAGACAGCCTGCCCAGCCATAGGCCCTGCCCAGCCACAGGCACTCTACCACAGAGGGTGTTTTGGTCTTCCTAGTGAGACAGAACAGATCTAAGACCACGAGTCACTCTCCTCCAAACCAACCATTCTCTGAGCTGCTCAAGTTCTAGGACACAGTCATTATCAAAGGATCCTTTTCACCAGCTTGAGTTCTGTCCTCTGCAAAAGCTGCTTTTTGTGATGATACTGATCAAGACACACAGTACTCACAAACCAACATGTTGAATTAAAACCCCTTTGTACGGTCTGGGAAGGTGGCTTAGTGACAGAGTGCTTGCTTTGCATGCATGAGGCCCTGGGTTCGATTCCTCAGCACCACATAAGCAGAAAAAGCTGGAAGTGGCACTGCGGCTCAAGTGGTAGAGCGCTAGCCTTGAGCTGAGGAACAGCACCCAGGCCCAGAGTTCAGGCCCCATGACTGACAAAAAAAAAAAAAGAAACCCCTGTGTACAACTCGTAAATATGGTATGGATGTGTGTATGTGTATGTGACTAAAGTCAGGCACATCTCTTTATCAGACATTAAATTCGTTATACAATGAAACAATTTAGACAATGGTAAGTGAACAAGCTAGTGTTGACATGAACTACACGCTATGTGCTGCTTCCATAACAGGACATTATTGCAAATATCCTTAAAAAACAACAACAAAAGGCGGGAGGCATGGCTGGTGACAGGATAACTGACTGCCTAGCAAGCTTGAGGCCCTGAGTTCAAATTCTACAGTACTGAGGGGGAAAGGGAGAGAGAAAGAATTTCAAACCTTGAAAATTAATATATAAAATACTCATGTGTTCAATGAAACAGTACACGGGTATTAAAAATGAAAACTGTGAAGGCCTCTGTGGCAATTATAAAACTAGTCCTGAAAGCAGCATTAGCCAGGCGGAGGTGTCTCACACGTGTAAGTTTGGCAACTTGGCCAGAGCCTGTGATGACAATGACAAAGGACCAGGCAGTGATTCTGGAGACAGAGGCCTAGCAGAGGTAGTCTCTCTAGCCTTACATCAAAACACAGACAATATAACCTACTTAAAGTCTTACACCTTTAAGGACTGTCACCATCCAGACTCTGACAAAGTAGTAGAGATTTCTGTTTCTTGAGTGGGAGGGAAGAAGGGAGAGAAGAAGATAGCTCTGAAGGTCGTCTCCGTTTCCCAAACTCAAGAGCACGGACTGAGGTCCCACCCACCCCCCTCCTCCTGCCCCGCAGCAGAGCTCTGGCCAACACAGAAGAGGTCAGCAAGTTCAGGTACCTGCTGGTGGAAAAAAAGTACTGCACAGTACTCTGGCTTTGCTCTTCTACTGTAACCAGCAATGCCTCAGGACAGACGGTAGATGTTTACTGAATGTCTAACAAACAGCGAAACCCAGTGAGCAAGTCCTCTGATAATTCTGAAGGCAGGTTGTCAGGAAACATCAACACTCTCTGGCACAGTGAGACCTGTTTTGGTTCTGCATACTGGGTATGGGCATTTCCCACCAAGAAGAAAGTTTTGCGTGCTAACCCCAGCTACACTTACTGAACATGCCTCTGATATGCTGTTTCAAAATATTCACCAATGACGGATATTCATAAACAAAAATGTAAGGGGGGGGGAATCCTGAGGCATACACCTGTACTCCTAGATACTCAGGATGCTGAGATCTGAGAATTGCAATCAGAAGCCAGTCCAAATAGAAAAGTCCATGAGACTCTTATTTCCAATTAACCAGCAAAAAAGCCAGAAGTTGAAGATATGGCTAAAGTAGCAGAGCTCCAGCGTTGACTGAAAAAAGCCAAGTGGGAACATGAGGCCCTGAGCTCATGCCTGTCAACAATCCATCAATCAATCAATAAAGTGCACTGATATTTTCTTATCTCTGTTTCCATCCCAAAGACCCTCTACCAAAAAGCTAAGTCTTTTTATATTGCAAACTTGATCTTAGAAGTGACAATTCTAAACTCTGCTCAAGAGTACTAAGGAGTAAGAAAACTCAAAAGGCCTTTACATTCTCTTCTACTCAAATGGTCTCATGGGTCTTTTGCAGAAACATACTCTAACATTCATAAGTTGTTCTAAAGTCGCAGAATATCATGGTCTTCTGTCCTGGATCCATGATCAGACCAGAATTGCTATGTTCCTCAGAATTCCGTTCTTCTACAGATGAGACCCCCAGAAGAACACAAAAAAGAGCCAGGGACCAATTTAAAGTGGCAAATCACTGACATTCTGCAAGTCACATTGTAAGCTGCCCAATCAGATGAGTGAACATGGTAGCTGAGGTCAACCCTAGAAAAATTCCTTTACCCCTACCAGGACACATTCCATGCATATGCATGAGAACATTTAACATCCCGTCTTTTTCAAAAGACCCAACCTGCACCCTGGGGCTAGGAGAGAGTGAAAATGCAGAGACTCTCAGACCTACCAGTTTCTCCCCTGCAGCTCAGAAACTGGGAGCTGCACTATGAGTTTAAAATTAAAAGGCTCACTTTTACCTCCACTAGTATTTTATCTGTCACTCCTCAGAGTACAGACACAGTGGCCAATCCAACAAGAACCACAGCCCTGGACTGAGGTCATCTCTGCCAGAGGACATTGCATCTGCCACACTGCTCAGGTCACAGAAAAGCAGGGACTTAAAAGAGGTTCTGAGCATGCCTTAAGTTATCTCCCCGCCCACGCTCAATCACTGTTCCTGACATCACATCTGGACAGCTTTGCTTTTCCTTTGCTGGAATACCTTAGAGCTCTGTGCTTCCCAAGGGATGGAAATTCTATTTACAGCATGTATGAGATTAAAGCACCCAGCCTGCAGAGGGGAGCCAACGTGCATGTGTAGTAATGCTGCTTCAGAACGCCTCACACTGCTTTATTCATAAGGCTGGAGGACAGGGTAGAACCACATGAAATTTAGTATCTTGCTGGTCCTGAAATGTTCATTAAGTGCTCTTATCCGCAGTCACCAACCCACCCCAGAGAACCACTCTCAGCTAATTTAAAGAGACTATAATCTGCTCATATTTAAATGATGATGCACCCGGAACATTATTACTGGAAAAATCATCACATCTTAATTTGTGCTACTAATTAGGAGGTCTTTATCAAAGGGGACAAAAAAACACCTGATCATCTTACATATAGTAATTTATTCTAATTGGTATATACTGGGTATAATTTGTAGATTACCCCCACATGGTAAATAGTTTAACATTGTAAAACTGCTAAAAAAAAAAAATAGCTTGATAGCAAAATGTTCATTTCCAACTGCACATTCTGGGACACTGACTTTTCCATGCATGAATTATGAAGACCAGGGGTCAAAGTGCAAAGAACTTTACAGCAGAACAAGTTTCTAGAGTGAAACATTAAGACACATTTTCTGATGAAATTCATGGGGGCTCAAATCTCCTTCCAAAGGTGTTGGCAGTCCTGGAAACGTTAAAATTGCTACAAAGTCAAAATTGATCTTTGCTATGTTTTACAGTTAAGTCGCATATGTACACTCACACACACACAATCTAACGCTAATTCAATCCATAAGCTTGCATAATGCTCTCCTTGTTTTAAGGCTTTCCGAAATCACTAACGAGTCAAAACGCCCCTTCTTGGCTCAGTCTTTTAATTTGTGCCCAAACCTAAGGAGGTGACAGCGCCCAGGCTAGGCAGGGACTAGTTCGCTGGCAAGCCTCTGGTTCCGGCCCACGCGCCCAGGTGGAGAACAAAGGTGCATCACAGAAGGTGCACCGCCCGAGGTAAGGTGGAAATCTGGGTCCCCCTGCTCCCACCAAAGCGCGTGCGCGCACGCGCGCACACACACACACACACATGCACACACACACCCCAACCTCGCACAAATCATCTCAGTGCCCTCCCTCCCCCAGCGGCGGGGCAGCTGTTTCCTTCCCCTTTTAGTTCATTTTCAAGTTCCTATGGCTTACCTCAAAAAGATGTGGCGAGTAAAACAAGGTTCGTGTAAAACTAGAGAAAAGCGCTTGGAAAAACTTAGAAAAAGAAAAGCACGTTCACCCGCCACCGTTCGCTGATGGGGCGGGGGGGGGGGGGGTGGCTCTCAAGGGGGTGCCAGCGTGTGTAAAGCTAGGAGGCCCACGGTGCGCGGCGTGCGTGTGCAGACCTGGGATCTCACAGATGGGTGTGGTTTTTTAACTTGGCCCGAGGGCGCGGCCGTCCCCCGCAGGTGGTAACAAATTCCCTGAGCGCACTTCAGAAAAGTTCTCCGACAAACACAAAAGCAATTCCTTTCCAACTGCGTGCGCCAAGTTGGGCTGCTATTTAAGGTGGGGGTGGGGGGGAGAATTACTCTTCAACTTCCTTCTTTCCGTGCCAATCCTGCTGGGAAGTGGGGGGGAGGGGAGCGCGCCACCAGCCCTTCCCCCACACACCCCCCCACCGTGTCTCGGGGAGCTGCAAACTCCCGCTCGCACCTTCCAACAAATAAGTCCACACCTGGGGTCCCGGGCCGGCGACCACCTCCGCTGCCCTCTGTAGGCCGGGTGGCACCACCGCGCGCACCTGCGGGCCACACCCGCTCGAAAGTTCCCGGGCAGGGGCGCGCCTGACCCGTCCAGCCGCGGCCAAGGGCCACGTTGCCGATCCACAGGCAGGACACAAAGGAAACTCGAGTTGTGGGGGGCGGCCGAGCTGCAGAGAACCACGAGATCCTCACCTGGGAGCGAGTCGCCAACTCCATCTTCCTAAAGGGGCTCCAGCCTCCTCCTAGCACGCGGCCACGGTTGCCTGGCTCGCCGCGGGCGCGCCGCACCGGGGACGCGCGGCCGGCGCGCTCCGCCCGCAGCTCCGGCGGGCCGAGGGAGGGGCGCACTCGGCGCCCAGGACAGGGGGGAGTCCCGGCGCACCGCCCGTCCCGTGCCGCCTCGCCCGGCTTCCAGCCCTCGGTCGCCAGCCCAACTTGTGGACTCGCACCCTTGCCTTTGCTGGCGACACTACACGAGGGTACGCTGCGCCCGGCCCGAGGCGGCGGCCCACGTGCCTGCGCCGGGCTCCCCCCTGCAGCGGAGGGAGGGAGTGGAGCCGTCCGGCCCGGGTTCGCGCGGGAGAAATGAGAAGGGGCCGGGCCGGGCCGGGCTCCGGCTGGCACGCCCCGCTCGCGCTGCGCCCGTGCGCGCCAGGCTGGCTCCAGCCCCTGCCCTGGAGCGCGAGCCGCCTCCGCTGCAATCTGCACCTCCTTCCAAGAAAGGATTTTAAGGGCAGCCTCAGAACTTTTTGTGTTGTTGTTCTTGCAAAGGGGTGGGGCCTGCCGTCTCCCCCAGACATCGCACTTTGCCCAGCAGGCAACCCCTGAGTCTTTACCCAGGCGTGGTGCAGCCTCCTGTCCCTGGAAACTTTAGCGGGTGGCTGCACACCATATCTGCCTGCGAGACCGCCCGCGCCAGACGGTTTCTGGTGTCAGCTGCAGGGTGAGGAAGGCCTGGGAACACAAGGCCCAACCAAACTGAGTTTATGAACTGAATTACCCACAAGATAGGAATAACTGTAGTAGTGATACAAATGTAGTAAGAATGATAATTATGTAGTTTGACTAATTGGATTGACAATCGGTGTAATTAATAGCAATTTGATTCCCGCTAATAAAGGTAAGTGTAAAAATGATAGTGCGTAGAAATGTAAATTTGAAGCAATAATACATACCCACAGGGGGGAAAGTAAGTGGTATTATAGAGGATTAAGATAGACGGTCTGCAGAGCTCAGGAACAACTTGAAAGCTCAGGAAGGGAGGGTGAAGAAGGAATGGGCAGGCGCTGTGGAAGGGCAAAAGTAGCTATGGGGGAGGATGGAAAATGAAGTCTTAAAATCAGTGTTGAAATCTTTTCCACCAGTGAGCCAATGACTCACGCCTGTAATCCGAGCTACTCAGGAGGCTGAGAGCTGAAGATAGTCTTGAAGCCAGCCCAGGCAGGAAAGTCCATGAGATTCTTCTCTCCAGTTAACCAGCAAAAAGTCAGAAGTGGAGGTGTGGCTCAAGAGGTAGACTTACAAGTTGCCTTTAGCAATAAATCAAGCCAGAACATCAGGCCCTGAGTTCAAGCCCCAGTATAGGCACATGCACACACAAAAGAAAAAAAAAAAGCACTAGCATGCAAGCAGAAGCCCTGAGGTTAAATACCAGTACCAACCACCAAAAGAAACAGAAAAATAAAAGAGAATTCATGCAAATATTAATTCAGCACAGTATTCTTTAAATTCTAGTTCCTTTTTGAAGTGTGAACACTAAGAATCTAGAAAAATGTTGAGATAATTCAAAGAGAGGAAACTCTAATGCATAATTTATCAAGCATAAAAAATATAAAAGTAAACTGGGCACCGGTGGCTCAAGCCTATAATCCTAACTACTCAGGAGGCTGAGATCTGAGAATCATAGTTAAAAGCCAGCCCAGGTCTTTGAGACACTTCTCTCCCATTAACTACCTAAAAACTAGGTGTGAGCTGTGGCTCAAAGTGGTAGAACGATAGCCTTGAGCAAAAAAGCTCAGGGACAGCACCCAGGCTCTGAGTTCAAGCCCTACAACCAAACAAAAAAAGATTTATGGTGTATGCATGTTTGCCTGTGCAATCACACATCCTGGTTTATGTTATTCAATAAAAATAAAACAAGCTTGTTTTTCTTTTGTTTGGGTTAGGTTCTCACTGCAGAGTCCAGGCTAGCTTCAAATGGGCATTTTCCTGCACCTACCCCTGGAGTGCCAAGATTACCGGCATGTACAAAGTCTGGACAAATACATGTTTCTTAAATTGGACAATGTTCTGTTAGTTTTAACTATTCCAGGGTCTGCATGCTGAGCCCACATAAGACGTGGGTTGAACTAAAGAAGAAAGCAGAGAGGACCATCTCCAGATGTTTGCTCATCATGCCTGAATAAATGTTTTTATTATTCATTCCTTCAACAAAGAAAAGATGAACAGCAGAGGTTTATGCAAACAGACAGCTGCAGAATATCCTCATGACCCTCGTGTAGAATAGACTTCTTTCTTTTTTAATTTCTCTTTCCTTCTTTTTCTCTTTCTTCCTTCTTTCCCTTCCCTTCTTTTTCTTCCTTCTTTCGTGTGTGCATAGGTGCATACTGAACTTGAACTCAGTTCCGGGGGTGTTGTACCTTTGCTTTTTCACTCAAGAATGGCAGAGTGTTCTACCACTCGAACCATACTGCAGCTCATGTAGTCCTATAATTAGGAGAATTCACATATCCTCCAAATTAGTGCTATGGAAATAAATAATATTTGCAAAACATTTAGGATTTCTTAGCAATGCTATACAAACTCCAAACAGGATTAATGCAATCCATATGTCATAAGCTTTTGCAGTATACAGTATGCTATTTTTAATTTTCCCCAGAATATAAAATTTTTTAAACGACACTGACAATGAATGGATAAAATGAAATAAATTGTTCAATCATTTTTTGTTATTCTAAGGACGTGGATGGCAATGGCCTATTTCTAATTAGTGGTACCAACAAATGTACTGCAAGACATAGTTTTCTTTGTTTTTTTGCCAGTCCTGGGCTTGAATTCAGGGTCTGGGTACTGTTCTTGAGCTTCTTTGGCTCAAGGCTAGCATTCTGCCACTTGAGCCACAGTGCCACTTCCAGCTTTTTCTGTTCATGTGGTACTGAGGACTTGAACCCGGGGCTTGATGATGCTAGGCAAGCACTCTACCACTAAGCCATATTCCCAGCCCCAAGACATTTAAAAAAAAACTATGAGGTTTTTTAATTATGAATTTTGTGTATAACATTTTAATCTATAAAATATCAATAGCTGTATCTATTATATATAACTTTCAAAAACTATTTTAGGACTTGAATTTGGGGGCTAGCACTCTACCAGTTGAGCCATACTTCCAGTCTGACATTTTGGTAGTTAACTGGAGATAGAGTCTCTCAGGCTTTTCTACAGAATCAGACTTTAACCTCAATCCTCATATCTTAGCCATCTGAGTAGCTAGTATTACAAGTGTGAGCCATTAGTACTCAATCTATACATCAAAACCATAAAGTCATAAAACATTTTACTACTATGATAGAAAGATGCACAATATTTTTTAATGCAGAGTTTTAACTTCTACTTCATCAAAGCTAAATTAATATTTCAAGAAAAACTATCAAAATATCAATATTTATTACATACATTTCCTGGAAACTTTAATACTTTGGTTATGGTCTACTTTGACTATTTACAAAATCTTGACTGACAGTTTGACAAGCAATAATAAAAAGTCTTGGGCCAGGAAGTAGAAAATTTAGGATCAGAAATGTAAATTTCCTCTGAAAATCTGGCTCTACAAATAAAATATCTTATACCAGTGCTATGCTTTCAGGAGGAAAAAGCCACACATCTTTCCCCAAACCTTGGTGACATTTCCAGCATGGCAGACACTTGCCCATCTTTACTTGGAATGATGGAGTATATGACAGGGATAAGTCTGGATCGTTTTTGTGAGAGCAGAAAATCTATAGGCTCATGACAGTAAGGGGTTTGCTTATTCCTTTAAGCTTCTAGATGATTCTAATTAAAATGGTTGAAAACATTGCTCTCATTTCAATGTGTGGTCCTGCGATCAGCCACAGCAATTCTTGGGCTCTGGTAGGAAATTTAAATTCTTGCCCCAATGACCAGATCGATCTACTGAATCAGAAACTGGGTAATTTGAAATTCATCATTGAGCTTCATTTTTCTCATCATTGAAATGAGGGTGCTTCCTGCGGGCCCACCCCGTAGCCAGTGTTACCCTATATATGGCAGTGATGATTCTTTTTCAATTGATAAGTAAAAGTGTGACATACATACATATATAAATAGATAAGTATAATTTATATATTAATGTCTACACTGTGATGTACAATAAACCTCTTGCACCTAGTCTTTCTGTTCAAACTGAAAAATGTTGTATTCTTTGGCCAACATCTCCTGGATCCCTCTACCCACTCCCAGCAGCATTTTTGCAAAGGTGAACATGCCCTGTCAGATGTGATTTATTTTTCCAGTACTGGGGATGAAACTTGACATCTAACTTGCTTGGCAAGCACTCTGCCACTTGACCTATACCCCCTCAGTCTTTTTTTCCCCCTTTCCAATTCGCTTTTCAGTTAGGGTCTCCGTTTTCTGAGTAGGCTATGATTATATTTTAAGGAGGTTACAGTGTTGGAAATTTACAAAGTAGTATTATTTGCTGTAGTAATACTTCTTTTCACGGACATTAACCACATCCCAGGACCTATTAATATACTGTTTCAATTAGTTTTGCCACAAGCATGCATTGTTTGCACTATATAAATATATGTACTGTATTAGGGCTTGAACTCGGTATTTGGGCTTTTTTTCAGCTTTTTCCCTCAAGCCTGATGCTTTACCACTTGAGTGAGTCATACCTCCACTTTCAGCTTTTTTCTGGTTAATTGAAAATAAGGGTCTCTTAGACTAGGTCAGCTTCAAACCATGTTCCTCTGCTCTCAGCCTTCTCAGTAGCTAAGGTCACAGGTGTGAGCCACTGACACCAGTTGAACTGTATCTTATACCCACAATTTTCAGTTAAGGAAACTGTAAAATTGAGGGATTAAAGAACTTACTCAAGTTGACCCTCAGAGCCAGGTTACAGCTCAGATCCGCCCGCTTGTATGCCAGCCTCCCTCGCTTTTGTGCCTTCATTTGGAGAGCTTAAGAGTGAAGAGAAAAAACATAGACTTCAATGAGAAGAACTACGAATTGAGTTCTCTATGAACTACTATCCAAC